AAGGAAGTGCAACATCGACGAAAGCGACGGTTTTCATGTCGTAATCGATCTAAAGGAGGCTTGACAGTTCCAGACAATTTTCATGTCGTAATCGGTCTAAAAATCGTAAAATCGATAGAATCAAAGGAGCAGAACTACTATTTTTATGCTGTAAACGGTTTAAAGGGGGCTTGACAGTGCGGAGTGGGTCATTTCCATGTCGTAATCGGTTTAACGCCCAATTCCAGGGAGCAGAATGACATTTTCATGCCGTAAACGGTTTAAAGGGGAGGCGACAGTGCCCTAATCGGTTTAACGGTAGAGAGGCAAGCACGGAATAACATTAACAAAGGTCGTACCTTAGGTTTTTGATGGCGTAATCGGTTTCAATGGATTGCGACAGGACAAGAAAAGTCTTTTTCAAGGCGTAAATTGTTTAAAGGGGCAGCGACATGCGCACAACCGCTATTTTTCTCAATCTAGGAAGATTTTAGCTAATTTTTTGCATAGGACGCCACCAACCCAGAAATTCCACCTCGCACCTATCGACGCCCACACCTCGAACCCTGACCCCCTAGAAAATCTCTGGGTTTGACGCACCACGCTGGGGCCCGATAATGGAAACAATGGGATTTAGAGCCCGACAAATGCAAAGACACATGGCAAAAACCACCGGTTTCTGAAGAGAGCAAAAAATACCTTGAGGGCATTCTCAGTGTATCTCTCATTTTGTCTCTCTCTCTCTCTCTCTCTCTCTCTCTCTCTCTCTCTCTCTCTCTCTCTCTCTCTCCCTATCCCTGTTCTCGCCATTCAAATAGGGAGGGATTTGTGCTTTGCCTATAGTATTGTCTCTGCTGTCCTCAGAATCCCAGTGATGCCACCTCATGCTCTTTTATGGGGGATCAAAAATGACTTTTACTTAATGCGGTGGTTAATCCTGAAAATTATAGTCTACTAGGCAGTCTAGCGGTGATTTTTGTGGAATTTGAACTTCCGCCCTTTCCATGTGTCACCATCCCTTTAAAAAGTGAATTTTTGAAAACCATTCCAATATCATTATTTTCAGACGAGAATGGCCTACAGCTTGCTGATGGTCGTCAACTTTGCGAATTCAGTGATGCTCACATTACAGGTAAATTTTGAAAAAATGTGCGAAAACAGCCTACCGTAGCCTAGCGTAATATAGCGTACACTATCCTATCCTAGCGTAAACTACCGCACCCTAGCGTATTCTAACATGGAGACTAAATCTACCCTAACCTGTAACCTACTGTAACTCACCGAGACCTACCGTAGCTTACCGTAATGTATCGGAATTTACCATACCCTACCGTATCCTAACGTAGCCATCGAGGCACCGAATTAAAAAGCCGGCGTATTCTCAGCCTACTGTAAATTTCGGTAGCCTAGCGTAGCCTACCGTAGCTTACCGTAGCCTACCGTAACCGACCGTGTTGCCTACCGTAATCTGCCGCAACATACCGTATCCTGCCGTACATTACGGCAGCTTCACGTGCCAATCGTCGTATTCTAACGTACTCTACCGTATCCCTTCCAGGTATTCGGCACAGAATCCGCCCTATCCTTCACGATATTCCTCGTCAATACCATCATCGTCCTGGCGGCGCTGTACGGGATCTACAACTTACGGCCGCTCTTCATCGCCCCCAATGTCGTTTTTAAGGTATTTTTTTGGACGCTTGATTCATTAATGGCTAGTTTTTGCTTTCCCGGTCCTTCAAAAAAACTTATTGAATTGTTTTATACATTTTGATTGATTTAAACGGACTAAAAAAATTTCGACATTTTAGGCTTCCAAGTACCTTTAAAGCCCAATAAACACCTTTTGAAGTACGGAGCACATGTTTGGTCGATGATTTCCTCCTTGAGAAAGTGCTGTTTATTTCTTCCCCTGGCCGGAGCCCTATTTTTGCGCTGTCAAAACAAGTGACTGACCGACTGACTGTTCGCTCTCCCTGGCACAACACCAAAAATGGACATGTGACATGGCGAGAGAGAGGAAAGAGAGAGAGAGAGAGGGAGAGAGAGAGAGAGAGAAATAGAGAGCGCGAGAAACGATTGAATCTTGAATTCAATTTTGACTGTATTTTAAATTAGCTTAATTCAACCTCTTCTAATTTTTATGTAGTATTTCGGCATTTCCACGCCGAATTTCCTTGCCTTTAACGTACCTTTAAAAAGTTAAAAGTTTTACAATCCATCCATAATTATTTTTAGCAATTTTTCGAAGCCCGGTGTTGCCATTAAGGCTCCTTTAAACAGCCTAAAACGCTTGAAAATACTTAAAAAAATTTGTGGAATTTTTTGCGCATTTTTTTGGTTTCCAGGTCCCTGTAAAGCGCTACGTCACTTACAAACGATTTTCAATAATTTTATACAATTAACGGCACTTCATTTGTCGCTGCCAGGTCCCTCTTAAACCCCAGAATACACTAAAACCTGATAAAAACTCCAAAACAACCCCCAAATTCGAGCACTTTGCACGCGTTTTTTCTGCAATCTTGAGTTTCTTGGGCCGTTATCAAGTATCGGTGCGTACCCACCCCGATCGGGCCGTTCGAACCTTCGAGAAAATCAGTTCGCACCGACCTTTATCACCCCAAAAATCCTGCCGCATAAAAGCCTATAAATTCAGCCCCGAGCTAACTGCCGGCTATTTTTCTCGGCATGGGCTATTTGTTGCCCCTTCAATTCCAGAAAAACGGCACCGGAACTTCCGGTTTTGTGAGGGCTTTTGTTCGGGGCGTTGGGTGCATTTTAAGACGCCTTGGCTTACTAGAAGCAATTTTGCATCAAGGAGCGCTTTTGGATAATTTTAGGAATTTTAGCAAAAATAATTTTTGATGATATGTATTAGAGCTAGAGAGAGCTAGAGAGAGAGAGAGAGAGAGAGAGCGAGAGAGTAGGAGAGAGTGAGAGAGAATGAGAAAGAGAGCGAGATATAGAGAGAGAGCAAGAGAAAAGAGAGAGAGAGAGAGAGAGAGAGAGAGAGAGAGAGAGAGAGAAAGATAGAGAGAAAGAGAGCGAGAAAAAGAGAGAGAGAGAGCGAGAGCGAGAGTGAGAGAGAAAGAGAGAGAGAGAGTGAGCGTGAGAGAGAGAGAGAGAAAAAGAGCCGGATATTGTTTTGCAGGCAGTGGAGAGAGATTGTTGTTTGTCTATTTGTGCTGCCATTCCCTCCCACATCAACCATTCCCCCAGCCATGTGCCTCCCCCCACCCAGTCAATCCGTTTAGTCAGTCGGCCAACATCGGCCCCGCCGTGTCGGTCTATCTATCCATTTTTTATCATTTTTGGCCGATTCTGATGAAAATATAACGCTAAAAACGAAAATACAATTTTAATTTTGTTAAAAATGCAAAAACGAATCAAAAGATAAAAATTTCGGTTTTAAAGCGGGATTTTAAGATTTTCGGAAATTTTGTGTTTTTTAATAAGAAATCTTTGTTTTGCTTATTTATATAAAACAAATATATTTTTAGAAATTTAACGTTAATTTAAGATAAGCAAATTTTTATTAAGCTTCTTGCTTAGTTTTAAACGCTATAAATGACGTCTAAATATTTTCATCTTCCAGGTGACCGTCTCGTCAGCGGCCCTCTTCTACGGCCTCCAAATCGTCGAGTCGATCTCGCCGATCCCGGTCCCCCAGCTCATCTGGATCCTCAGCTCCGTCGTCCTATTCGTCCTCGAAGTGCACGCCATGTTCAGCGCGTCGTTCGGCATTCTGAAGGAGTTGAGCAGGAGGTACGAGAGTTTTTGAGCCCCAAAAACTGCGACCCATACAAAATTGCCAAAGCCCAAAATTATCCAATTTTTTTTAGGGATCGAGCCAAGCCGCCGCCATCTTATGATACCGTAATCTCATCTGATGCTACACCACCGTCGTATCAAGAAGCCGTCGCTAGGCTACACGATAAGACCCGGAAATCGCCGGGGGCATCGAAGCCGGTGATGCTCGATATTGAGGTGAGTTAGACTGACGATAGGTGGTGCTCTTTCTCTCTCTCTCTCCCTCTTTCATTTCTCTCTCTCTCTCTCTCTCTCTCTCTCTCTCTCTCTCTCTCTCTCTCGCTCATTCCATTCTCTCTCTCTCTCGCTCTTTCATTTCTCTCTCTCTCTCTCGCTCATTCCATTCTCTCTCTCTCTCGCTCTTTCATTTCTCTCTCTCGCTCATTCCATTCTCTCTCTCACTCTTTCATTTCTCTCCCTCGCTCTCTCTCGCGCTCTTCCCTAATTTATCTCATTTGCTACATATCTCCCTTCTCACTCCTTCGTGACATATACCTCTTATCTCTTCTCTTTCTCTTGCTCACTGCCTCTCTCTCGCTCGCTCTCGTGTTCTCTCGCTCCCTCGTTTTCTCTCTGTCTCTCCAGCCTCTATAATTTAAAAATTTTCAGAGCCTCACAATCTCCCGCCAGCCCTCCCCCCGATCCCCGAAGACCTCAACCCCCACATCAGCTCCTCCTCCCAAAGATTCTCCGCTAGATGTCCACAAACCGAACCAGCTACCCCAAATTGAAGTTGTTTAAAATCAATCGATATAGGTTTTTTAAGTAGATTTTTTATCGATTTTCCGTACATTCCAGCCTTTCCACCCGGTACTAATTATGTATATTACTTTAAAAATACGGGTCCTTGAACTTATTATCTTTTTGCTCTAGTCATTTCCCTGCTCTCTCTCGCTTCTCTCTCACTCTCTCTCTTTTCTCCCTCTCTCTCTCTCTCACCACTGACAAATCCCCATCGGATACTCCCAAAAAAGAACAAGCTTTTCCCCCTCATTTAGCTCAATATTCCGCGTCGTTACCCTAGCCATTTACGGCCACTTTTGTGATCTCATGCTGTATACGTTATTTGAAAATAAATGTATTAATAATTGATAAAAACTATTTAAAATCACAGGAATGCGAAGGAATTTAATAAATAGGAAAGATTTTAAAGGGATGGTGACAGGAACATTTGATAAAAAAATGAAAAATAGGTTGTAATACCCCCTTTAAAGATGCGCCTTCTTGGCCTTGATCGTCTCGGCCAGTTTTTGGACGACGTGCCGGATTTTCTGCTCATCAGAATTGATCCCGAACGTGCCGATGCGCCAGATTTTTCCTACCGTAGACCCGAGACCGTCGGCAATCTAAAATAAATTGTTTGAGCTGAAAGACTTTTATTTAAATGTTTCGAGCCTTAGAAATATGCGCACTTTAATTTAGCAACTTTATTACAGCCAAAAAGATGCTAAATTCGCGAAAAAACATAGCTTTATAATTTTTTTAATGTTAAAGGGCGTTAGAATTACATCACAATTGGCTTAAAAATACTTTACGACATGAAATTATGGCTAAAAACCTTTTTTTATTTTTAGCCAACCTCGATGCCGTGGGCCATCATCTCCTTCTTCACCTCATCTCCGCTGACGCCGGCGGGTACACGAACCGTGGTTAGACAGGGGAGACGCCATTCCTGAAATTCTCTCTCCTCTCTCTCTCTCTCTCTCTCTATCTCTCTCTTTCCTCTTCCCTCTTGCCATACCTCTAACTCAGAACGCGCAGTCTTACCTTCTTCTCGACGAACGGCTCCAACCCGACGGCGGCGAGCTCCGAGTACAAAAATTCGGCATTCTTGCGGTGTCGCGCGATCTCGGCGTCAATTCCTTCTTTTACTACTTCGGCTAGCGCTGTGCGCAACGTGTAGACCGTTGAGATCGGGGCAGTGTGATGGTAGCTTAAAAGAGAAAATTTGCCGCTTTCGAACGCTCGAAATAAAATGTCACTGGCTAACTACCAAGCGCTTGATTTGTGCTTTTCTAGAGCCATAAATTAATTTTTTGTGCCGACTTACCGTTTCGGGCCCGCGTCAGCACCCCAGTAGTTGCCCAACTCGAGCGCATCAAAATACCATGAGGCGACCGGGCGCTTTCGGGATTTGATTTTTTGCCTGAAAGGGGTGACTGGTTTTCTCTCTCTCTCTCTCTCTCTCTCTCTCTCTCTCTCTCTCTCCACTCGCCCCTCTACTTACATTGCCCGATCCGAGAATGATATCGGTGCCAAACCCGGAGGAGCGTTCAATACCTAAAATTTGTCATTTGAAGCCGGTTTTTTTCATTAAAGGGACCGTGCCTGCAAGAAAATGATACCTTTTGGGTGGCCGTATAAACACAATCTACTCCCCAACCATCCATATCGAATTCCGTACCGCCCAAGGAAGCTACGGTATCGACGAGGAGGAGGCAATCCTGAAAATATCTCTCTCTCTCTCTCTCTCTCTCTCTGTCTCTCTCTTCTCATTCTCTCTCTCGCGCTCTCTCTCTTTCTCTCCCGCTTTCTTATCTCTCCACCTCTTCTCTCTCTTTCTCTCTCTCTCTCTGTCCTTCTCTCTTTCTTGAACTCACATTTTTATGGCAAATCTCGCCGAGACCCTCAATCGGCTGGCAAACTCCAGTCGAGCTCTCGCCCTGGCATACGAACAGCACTTGTGGCTTGAATTTTTCGATGGCCTAAAAATAGATACGCACATTAACGCCAGCCTTTTTGCTCAAGAATTTGAACAAATTGCGCAACAAAAAAAAAATCATTAAAAATACCTCCTTAATCGCCGACAATTCAACCGCATTCCCGTCAGGCGCCTCGACCGTTTCCACCTAAACCATGTCCTAGATACCGTATGCCAACGGCCACCTCGAGTTCCAGCCGTTTAGCCAGATTGGCGCATCTCTGCCCCCAGAGGCCCGTTTTGACGGCTAGAATCTTCTCGCCGCGCTCCAGCAGATTTAGCATCGCCGCCTCCATGCCGGAATGACCTTAAAAAGTCGATTTTCAAGCCCTTTAAGAATTTTAACAAGATGTTTTAACGCATTTTTAGGTTATAATGATCCTTAAAATACCTACCTGTCCCAGAAATCGCGAACGTGTAGGCGTTTTCCGTTTTGAAGATGTATTTCAGGCCCTCGCGTGCGTCGGCCATGATCTGAATGAGCGTTTTGGGCGGTTTTTGGGGTGAAAAATCGAATATAAAGTGCCGACAATTAAAATACCAAGACACGAAAAAACCGACAATCGAAATGGGACAAACAAAATTGCCGACAGCAAAAACACCGCCAAGCTAAAATTCGGCCAAGCAAAAACGCAAAGAGTAAAAATACCGACGACTAAAATATTGCGCAAGCAAAAGGCGACAGCCCTGTAAAGCCCCAAAAGCCCGAAAAAGCCACAAGCTCAAAAGCCGAAAACCCGACTCTGAAAAACCCAACGAAGGAAATGCCGACATCTCCAATGCCGATAAGCCCAAATTTAAGTAGTCAAAAATACCGACAACCCAAAGCCCAAACCAATAAACTAAAATGCCGACGTTCAAAACAGACCAAATTACGTAAAACACCGTCAGTATTTAGAGTTTACGTGCCGGCATTTTTGCTACAAACTACGACTTTCAAAGTTCGGTATTTTTAAATGTCGGCATTTTTGTTGATCGCTTTTCAAGAGTCCAACGATTTTTAAAATAACGCTACCTTAACAAATTCGGGATGCAGATGACCGAGGAGGGAGCGTGAGGCCGACTCCTGGATGTTCGAGCCCATATTGGAGGGGCCGGGGCCGAAAAGCTCGCGTTTCGGGATGTCCATCGGCTCGAGAAGGCATTTCGGCACTGGGGGCGACATCTGAAATTGTAGTTTATAGATAAAAAAATTTTGCAAAAGAAGCAATAAATAAGCCGAAAAATCGAAATGCCACTATCTTTTCGCAGTTTTAGACTGGTTTTTCACATTCCTAAAAATTTAGTTTTGGGCTGGTTTTCATAATTTATGACTATAATCAGCTGATTAAACTCGTAGATTATCGCTTAAATGTTTTTAAGCGATTTATGCAAATTTTTTGTTAAAATTCGAATTTTTAAACGGCTAAAAATTATTTTTCCCAATTTCAGACGCTATTTTTGCTTGAAATCTCGGAAATTCTGATGCAAATAAGCCATTTAGACCCAGGAAAATTTGTTTTAGATGTGTATAAAAACTATATGCATATTATTCACATAAAATAAATTTTAGCTACAACTTTACAACCCTAAAAAATCAATAAATTCATTATTTTTCGAATTATCCACATTTTTCCGTTTTTATTAGTTGTTTTCAGGATGAAAAATATAGCGAAAGCTCTTCTAAAATACCTAAAAATCGTTAAAGTAAATTACAGCGCTCTTTATTGACTAAAAATAAGCCTTATTGACGACTTTACAACCCTAAACAATAGCTAAATGTATTATTTCTAATTTTTTAATTCATAATGTTTAATATGGGGGTTTTTATTAAGTTTTTTAGAGATAAAAATGTATTGAAATATCTTCTGAAACATCTATAACTACTGGGGCAAATTACAGCGCTTTTTTTCCAAAAAAGTGGACAACAGCGCGCGACTGGTTTTGCAGCCCGCGCCCCTGTATCCCTATCAAGGCATTCGGTGACGCCATGAAAATCGAGGGTACCTCGGGGCGGCTGGATGCGTTGCGGCTGGAGATAATTCGGAGGAGCTTCGAGGTTGATGATGATCGTTGGAGGAGCAGAGCACGAGCCGCCAATCGGGGCAACATTCGCGATTTAAGGGCTTGTGAAGTCAAAATCTTCACCTTGATTGGCCAAAAAAATCTGAAAAAACCATTATGGCTGCAGCAAATCTTTCAAAAGGTATAGAAATATTTGCATACAATAAGATATATAAAAATATAGAGAAAAATCAAGCAAAAATTAAGTAAATATCTTTTACATAAAAATATACAAAAAAAGAAAAACTTTCTGACTCGAAACTTCCAAAAACAACCCACAGAAACCCAACATTTATTACTGTAGCGTTTGCTTAAAAAATAGCGCTAAAAAGTTGCAAGCCTTTTAAGTCAAAAGATATTTAAGATAAAGTTTGTTTTCTGTCGCTTTTGAAATTTTTGGGTTTAAAAATTTAAATTTAATACCTTATTATCTCAACACTCCGAGAAATAATTTAGCAGCTTTTAAACTTAAGTTTAAGCCATTTTAAATGTAAGTAAAAAGCAGAGAAAAATTAGGCAGGTCGATTCTCGTAGGTTGTTTACGCCATCCACGTCTCTCTCTCTCTATCTCTCTCTCCCTCTCTCTTTCTCTCTTTCGCTCTATCTCCGCACCAACAGTTGTGTATGTGGCCTTGGATCGAAAGAAAACAACAGTGAGGCCGATCCGGCCACCGATCACTACGATATACACCAAATTAAGGGCTGGTAAAATAGGTAAAAAGCATAATTTCCATCGTCAATGGATTAAGGATTAAATTAGGATGTACGGTATCGGTAAAAAAATAATTTCACTGCGTAACCGATTACCTGGCTTAAAATAAATACGATATTCCTAAAAAGCGGGATTATAGACGGTATTAGCCGAAGAAATGCTTATTTTTCGGACAGTGGCACTGGTCAGTTCTCGTATCAGGGGCTTCAGGGTCAAAGCTGATAGCGATCAAGGGGGGCAAAACAGGAAGTGAATCTCTCTCTCTCTCTCTCTCTCTCTCTCTCTCTTTACCTCTCTCTCTCTCTATCTCTCTCTCCCTCTTTCCTTAGCTCTCTCTCGCTCTGTGATTAAATAAGTCCAAACATAAATAACCTTTATCCAAAAACCTCAAAAATTCTTGCTCCGCAAGTTCACGAGCACCTTCTTCCCCAGCCGATTCTCCACGGCCTTCTGCAACTGGGTGCTGGGCGTTAATTGAAACGTCTTGTAGTCGTTGTAGTACATGTAGAGGAATAAGGAGAGCGTCTTGGTGTTGCTCAGAACTTCTTGAGTCAGGTCGTCGTTGCTGCTCAGTTTGCCTTGGCGCTTGCCGCGTCGAAGGTTGGCGAGGAGCTACGAAATAGCGTGGTTTTACTGTTTTTGTTCTTTAAAAAGGACGTTGACTTGCTGACTCTCTCTCTCTCTCTCTCTCTCTCTCTCTCTCTCTCTCTCGCTCTCTCGATGTATCGCTCTATTGTCACGCTTCCTTTAAAAGCTCATCCACCCTTACCTTCCTCGACACCCTTTCGGGAACGTTTGTCCTCTCAAAAACGTCGCTCATCTCCTTGGCTAGATGGTTGGGATTCGAATCTGAATTTGGCATTAAGAGCACTTTTAAGAAGTTGGCTATGCATTCCAGGCAATATCCACCTTTATACTATGTAAACTAACCATCAAGCATGATTTCTAGCCGTTGAGGTCCCTGGCAAAACCTGGAAAATGTAAAAATTTCGGAAGAAATGTTGGATTACCATGACTGGGGCGCGACGTGGCGTCTCAGATGCATCGTATCTGGGTTTTTCGGGAGCTTTGATTTTCTGGAAATTGGGATTAAAGGGACTGAGAAGCGTGAAGAATGGGTTTCTGATCGTTTCGGAGATCGTATCTCTCTGTCTCTCTCTCGCGCTCTCTCGCTCTCTTTCGCACTCTCTCTCCCTCCCTCTCTCTCTCCGCTCTATCTCTCTCTGTGTCTCTCACGCTCTCTCACACTCTCTTTCTCTCTCACTCGCTTTATCTTGCTCTCTCTCTCTCTCTCTCTCTCTCTCTCTCCCTAGCTTTCTATAGTTCCACAAGCTCACCCCTTGGCCAACAACTTATAAGCCATGCGTGCAAAGGTGTGGATCGTCTTCCCGGATCTCCCGCAGCGCTTTCGTTCCCTAGGATCCGCCATCTTGCTGACCCACCCCCTTTAAAACTCACTTGCACAGGTACTCGTAAGCGGAAGCGAACCGCCGCAACGGATCCCTCAGCACAACAATTTTCACAGTATTCGCCTTCCACGTCGGCCGCTTTCCAACCAGGGTCAACCAGTTTTCAGTGATGTCGCAGCGGCTAAAACCGTGATTTTACGGGTATAACTGGGTGTCAGTAGGTGTCAAAAATTGTGTATAACATCCTGAAAGCCTCACTTCAAATCCTTGAAGCCTCTCGGTGGCTTCGTTCCGTGATACGCGTAATACAGGCGGCACATCGTTCGCTTCATATTTGAAGAGCCATTCTTTGGGATTGGACAGTAGTCGAGACCGGCCACCGGATTTTGACGTTCATCCTGCAAATAACTGCATAATTTCGAGCAAGGTTGCTTATTTTTGGGCTTAGGCTTAGGCTTATGCCTGGCTTAGCTTAGACTTAGGCTCAGGCTTAGCTTAGGCTTAGGCGTAGATTTAGGCTTAGCCTTAGGCTTAGCATATGCTTAGGCCTAGCTTAGGCTTGAGCTCGGGCTATCGTTAGACTTAGACTTGGGTAAGGCTTACAGGCTTGTTAGGCTTAGGCTCAGGAGGCTTAGGACCTGTAGCAACCGGGGACACTTTAATTTCTCGACCCCTTCAAAATACGGCAGCCGATTTTTCATGTCAGATTACGGTAGGTAGGCAATTTTACAGCACTTCACAGTTCCTTTAAAACGCACCAAATCCGGCCGGCTCTCCGCATGCACCGGGAGCACGAATCTCCAACGGAACTTGGAGCGGCACGTAGCGAGTACAGGCATTAGTGAGAGGGAGAATAACGTAAGGAGTCGCATAGTGTAGGCTTAGCTTGGGCTTTGGCTTGAGCTTAGGCTTGGCTTAGGCTTAGGCTTAGGCTTCGACTGGGCTTGGGCTGAGGCTCAAGTGAAATCGGAGAAATCCTCCCCGGGTTATTAAGCCCGGAGCCTCGGCACGCCCACCCATCATCTTTAGAGTGCACATGAGGAAGAACCATTTGCCGGGCAAAGAAAGGAACGGTTTCTGGATCTCCTCTAATGGGGAGCTTTAGCTGCCAGACCCCGCTTTTTATTAGGCCTGTCCAATTTGGGGAGCCGCGGGGTACGCTTTTGAAGCTCTAGCCGTTTGTTACCTAGGGTTTTGGCTTCAGCGGTGATTGTGCAGAGAACGAGAGAGAGAGAGAGAGTGAGAGAGGGAGAGCCAGATAAACAGACATACAGAGAAACGAAGGGTGAAAAATGACCCCAACCCTCAGCGAATCGGATTTTTAGGCGGAATGCGAAGGTGAGAATCATCGTTTTGTCAGGCGAAACCTGATCCGGATTAAATGGCGAGGAGCATGGCGAGGCCCGTAGGTCCCTTCCTCCCTCCCTCTCTCTCGCGCTCTCTCTCTCTCTCGCTCCCTCTCACTCTCTCGCGCTCTCTCTCTCGCTCGCTCTCTCTCTCCTCGCTGTATCTTTCTTTCTCTTTCTCTCTCCCGCTCGCTCTCTCTTCGCTGTATATCTCTTTCTCTAACTCTCTCTCTGTGTCTCTCTCTCTCTCGCTCGCTCTCTCTCTGTCTCTCTCTCTCTCTCTCTCTCTCTCTCTCTCTCTCTCTCTGTAACTATCGCCCCTGCTTTTATTCTCACAATCACTATTTCTTTGTTTTATTTTTTCAGTTTTGTTATGACGACCTAGAACTTTTAATCCGGCAAAAAGTTGCAACCAATTTGTTGCAAATTCCAAGGCAATCCATCTTCCATCCCCTTCATCCACAAATTCCCGGGCCACCTCGATGGAACGCCCGTCCGTCGAATGCTCTAGCGTAAATGGCGCTCCCCTCGTTTTTTGTTGGCTGCCGACATTCCGCTTCTCCGTTGGCCCAATCTTCCCTCGGTTGATTGCCCATCGAAGGGGGGTACTTCCAGGGGTTTTCCTGGTTCTGCCAATTCATTTCCTGGAAACTCTGCCTAAAATTTCGATCGAGGATCTTCTAGTTTGTCGTTTTTCAAAAGTTCGAAAAATCCGGGGATAAATTTTGGGTTCTTTCGAATTGAAGTGAGAGAGAGAGAGATTGAGAGAGAGAGAGAGAGGGAGAGAGAGAACGAGAGAGTTGCAGATTTTTTTGTATAAGTCGATAAATGCCCAGTATAATTACAACGGATTTCAAAACGGTAAAAATTTTTAAGTATAATTATGGTTAAAAACTCCAACAAAATTAAAAATTAATTCTAAGCAACTTTAAGTTTATTAATAACAATAAATTTAAATATTTAAGGAAAAATTTAATTAACATGAAATCGGAATTTTGATAACACTGCAGCAATTATGGTGGAAAATCGTTATTTCAAAATTTATATTTTTAATCAACTAAAGATTGTGTAAATTTTTTAGGGTTGGGACTTAAAAATAGACTGAACATACTTTATTAGATTATATTAAAATAACGTTAAAAAAAGTTGGGTTAAAAAAAAGCCCGATATATCCATAATTTTTAATTTTTCAATTAAACTTTTTTTCAATTTATGAACCGGTCTCAATTTAAATTTCTCCAAAAATTCCGATATTCCAAGGGGAACCCACGCAGACGCGTGATGCCCTTAAAAATTTTCTGTCCGTCAAAAAAGGGACTCTTGAGCCGGGCGACGGCCGCCGGAAACGGGAAGTGTGCTTGAAACGAGGCAGAATATTTCACGACGAGACGCCCAAAACGCACCTAGGGCGACAACCCGCCAGTCACCCCCAAATTGCACATCTCCGTCCCCACCCACAAGAAAAAGCTCTGCCGATGAGGGACCCCCAAAAGCCTCAAAATTGCTTTTCACCCCGCCTTAGGCGAGGTTGGGGACGTTATTATTGAGCCTGAAATAGATTTTTTTGGGTTGCGTCAGGATTTAGGGGGTTTTGCGCCGGCCCAGGTTAAACTGGATAAGCCGGAAAAGTTGGCTTTGTTTTTCTACCACTGGTTACCCTAAAATGCTTGTTATTCAGTTTTATAGGAAGGGCACATTTTTTTGATCTTGTCGCTTTCTCTCAGACTCGCTCGCTCTCTCTCTCTCATGTCTCTCTCGTACCTTCTTTCCTACCCTCTCTATCTGTTTTTCTGTCTCTCACGTTCCCTATCTCCCGCTCACACTCTTTCTCATGCTCGGTCTCGGTCTTTCTCTCACTTTCGCATTCTCTCATTCTCTCACTCTCTCTCTGTCTGCCTCTCTCAGTAGCTCTTGGGCTCTTTCTCTACATCTCTTGTTCTCTCCCTTTCTCTCTCACTCTCACTCTCTACCTCTCTCTCTCTCTCTCTCTCTCTCTCTCTCTCTCTCTCTCTCTCTCTCTGCTTCCCAATATTCGTACGCTATGAAATCCTCCTGTCCTAAATTTTGATTCGGAAAAGGTCCAAGTTTTTTCTGCTTCCCCCCTTGCCTTCAGAATCCCTTTAAAAACCCGGCCTTCTGGGTGGGCTCATTAAGTTGAGGAATCATAAATTACGAAGGGGTAGTGGGAATCGTGGCACAAAGGGGCTTCGCCTTCCATATTCCAGAGTCCTGAGGGTCGTCCGGGGGATTATTGCGGAATAAGGCAAGTGAGAGCGAGAGAGACAGAGAGCGTGAGTGAGAGTGAAGGAGAGTGACGGCAAGAAAGGGCCATCCATTCAGGTTTATACCCAATTCTGGGAACCTCCACCCCTCCTAGTGGCCCCTGAATTCAGCCAGCCGTCTTTGTTTTTGAAGGCGGCATTTTCCACGTAGCCGTCCATATTTCGTAGTGAATTACGAAAAATATTGCGTAAAATGCACTTCCGGAAAAATTATGTTTTTCGTTACTTAACGTTTTTTTGATGGTCATTTTTGGTGGAAAATGGATATTTTTTAATAAAATTTGGCCGAAATTTTGCGCTTCAAAAATTGTTTAGAAATCTTACCCTTAATTATCTTCGAAAAATCGGTACCTATTCAAAAACGCTGCCCCCCGATAATGCACAAGCACCAAAGCAGCCGTTCCTCCCATCTATCCAGCCGACCCGGCCGGGCAGTAATTGCCCAAATTTCCGGGCCCCCTCCGCCAACCCCCAAATGATCCAAACTTTATTTTCCGGCTTATTCCGTTCCTCCCGCCGACCTCTGCTGCGCAAAAAATTCCACTACGCTGCGCCACCCTGCGCAAACATAAAGTGTAACGCGATTTTGGGTGGGCTGCCACCAATGGCTCCCAGATTTTATCGGTGTTTCAGGGGGTGTAGAGTCTGGAATTCGACTTTATAAAATTCTTACACTTCTTCTCTTCTTTCCTTTTTGCGAAATACGCTAATTAATGCTTTTCGTACGGCTTGGTTGAATCTTGGAAATGCGCGCTTTTTGGGATCAGCACAATGAAAAATTGAAGAGATCTGCGTAAAATTAGCGTAGCAAAATTGTCTCTGTGTCTCCTGGGGTCTATGTCACTCTCTCTCTCTCTCTCTCTCTCTCTCTCCCCTCTCTCTCTCTCTGTGTCTCTCACTTTCTCTCTCTCTCTCTCTCTCTCTCTGTCTCTCTCCTCTCTATCTCTCTCTCTCTCTCTCTCTCTCTCTGTCTCGTGTGGACATTTTATCCCATCTCCACCGAGTGGCATTAATGATATGTCCCAGATCGAACCGGCGCACTAATGGGAGTTCAGAGGACGACATGACTCTGTGGTCTCAAGCTGAGTCACCGTTCCCTACTATCATCTCAAGTTTCCCAGCTGACCGTAACACAATGCCCCCTTCCAAGCGGGACCCTTCCAAACTGAGAACAACCCTTGAGGCGAGAGAGAGAGAGAGAGAGAGAGAGATAGCGAAAAACTGCTGAGTGTTAGTGAAGGGCCAAACCCTCAAGTGTTCTTCACCCATCCCTTTATCTCTTTCTTTTCCTTTCTTTCTTTCTCTTTTTGATGGAAACCCGAGCCCTCCCCCGCCCTGATATCATTTCAGGGCCCAGTCTCTTTTTTGGTTCCTACGGCCGGGTGGGTTTTGGATTGGGTCCTCCACCTCATCCTATCCATTTCCTCCTTCGTTTTTTCGTCTGGCTGGAATTCTTGGGATTCTGAGAAATTCGCGGAGGTATCGGATTTAAAGAGTTTTCTAAATAATTTATTGGTCGCAATTTTGGGGTGCTCGAAGCGTCGAGCGTCATTTGGGAGCGTTTCGGAAATGTCTGACTTTCGGATCTTTCTGGGGCTTTAAAGGCTTTGGAAAGCCAATTAAGAATATGGAAAGCTTCCAAAAATTCGAATTTCCATAAAAATTTACCGAAAATTTTTTTACGATTTTCTTCTGCCGTCTCAGCCCCTTTAAATTTGATATAATTACATTTATTATATTTTTAAACCCTCCTTTACGATGAATTACAACCCGTTTAAGGCCTAAAATTTAGAAATATTTGATTTTAAAACGATACTGATTACAAAAATTTAGTAGATTTTAATATTCTAATTCTGAAAAAAGAGAACGTGTTTTTCTGACTCTTAAAATTTTCTAAAAAAATTAAGCTAAGCCGTCCCAGCCCCTTTAATTTCAAGCTTCTCCCGGCGAGAAATCCAAGATATGGCGCGCCAAGCGGCTGGAGTGTTTTTGAGAATATAATATTTCTCCTCCAAAACGGGCCCCGCCCCGTGCCAACTATGGCATATCGATTTCCATTGCTACCCTACGAACACAACACCTCGTTCGAAAAGTTGTAAAGCCGACACAAACGGGGCCGATCATTTTTCGCTCTCTCGTGCGCTAGTTTTTACTCGTCATGACTCAACGGGGTGACCTTTCTGTCTGGGTATATAATTTCAACCTACGTGCTTAAGCCTCAGAAGCTGGCTTTGCTTGCTTTCCCTGAGAGCTATATTTTTCTAAGTCAAACTTAAGAACCTTTCATTAAGGAATTGTAAGTAGAGGAACATGAGGAGGCAGAAAGAGGGAAACGAGAGAGAGAAAGAGCGAGAGAGCGAGAGAGAGAGAGCGTGGGTGAGAGAGGGAGAGAGATTGGAAAAAGACAGTTAGAGAGAGAGAGATATACAGAGTGAGTTCGAGAGCGTGAGAGCGAGGGCAGCGGGAAGTTATTGGTGGGGTTAACGACGGGGGAACAAAGTTTTTATATCCTCCTGCCCTTCCCCCTTAAAAATTTGTCGTTTTTTATCTCCTTTTTATCCGCTATAACCAGTAGCACATGTGGCGCGAAACGGGCGGAATACTCGGGCTAAACACCCTATAAAACTCTCGTGCTCCAGCACAAAACGCTCTGGCTGGGATCAAGGTATTTTTCGGAAAATAGTCTGGTATCATTTTCATGTATCACGGTGATCATTTTGATTTGGGTATTGTAGCGATATCTGCCTCACTCTCCCTCTCTCACTCTCACTCAAGGATTCACTCTCGCTCACTCTCTCTCCGTCCTCTCTCTCTTTCACTATCTCTCTCTCTCTCTCTCTCTCTCTCTCTCTCTCGTCTCTCTCTCTATACCCCTTTCCTTCAGATGCCTTACTCCTCAATGTTCACCCACAGCGTCCCGGTCAACGAATCGGCGGTCGAGGGGTTCGACCGTCTCGTCCAATACCACATTGTCAACTCGTCACTTGGAGCCGTTTGTATGACTATCAATTTTGCACTGCTTGGCGTATTTCTTGGATATCCGCCATTTAGACGGAAATATCAGGTATGGTAGGGTTCAATTTCTCTGAGAGACGGAGCCGCTCTCTAAAGTTATTGACTTCAACGTCCCTTAAAAACTTTTTTCAGTTATTGATACTCCTTGCCGTGGGTGACACGATAAACGGCCTTGCCATCATCCTCACCGGCCTGAATCGTGTATATTTGTACGCGACAGCCCTCGAAACGTATACACTGCCCGTGCGAACTCCTTGGGAATGTGCGGTTGAGACGTGGTTGATCATGAAGCTGATAGGTAGGTGTTTTTGGCAGGAAAACGTGGTGTCGCTGGTCAGTGAAAATATGAGCAAGAGCGCAGAGAAAGAGCATGAGCTGGATATATATTCTGAAAGAGGAGGACTAGCGCGGGCGAGAGAGAGCGAGAGAGAGCGAGAGAGAGAGAGCGAGAGAGAGAAAAGAGAGAGAGAGAGAGAGAGAGAGAGAGGGTGAGAGAGTGAGCAAGGGTGATAGTAAACGATCCAAGCTTTAAAGAGCCGATGAAGCCAAAATCTACAGGCTAAAATCTCTGTTTTTCAACTTTAAAGGGGCCGTGACAGCTAGCAGAGACGATTTCAGGGGACCTCCTCCTTCCGATCACCACCCTGTGCATGGGTGTCGAACGGCTGCTGGCTATTTTGTGCCCCATTTTCTACCATCAACACCTGGACGGCCGGCCTCTCAAGTAGGTTTTCCACATCTCCCGTTTTCACTTTTGCATTTGGGAATCGTGGCGGCATTTAGGGTACTGTATTTTGGCCGCAAAGTCAAAAATCACGAAAAATACTAAAGCGCAACAAAAATTTTAAAACAAAAATAGAAACAACGATTCTGGCGTTTCAAACATCAACGAATTCAAAATTCAAATTTGAATAAAAAAAACTGCAGAAAATACAGTACCCAAAGGCTACCCATTGACCCGGGTACCGTAGTTGGAAGTAGAAAAACTAACCCCCAAAACCTAACAATTCCACTCCGTCACCCATTCCCTTTAGCCCCCACGGAGCGCTCCCGTTTCCACCCAGGTTCTGTGGCCGTGACTACTAGTATAGGTTGTTTTACCCTCGCTACCCTCGGGGGTTTTTACCCTCGTTTCCCCCTTGGTATTTTACCCTCGTTTCCCCCTGGGTATTTTACCCTCGTTTACCCTATGGATATTTTACCCTCGTTTCCCCTATGGGTTTTTACCCTCGTTTTTCCCTGGGTTTTTTTACCCCCTTCAAATTATCGATTTTTTTGAATGTTTTTAAAGCAAAAACTTTGCATTTTTTACCTACCCTTTCATGGTTTTCCCAACTTTTTCAAGTTTAACACGTTCTACCAGAACCCTGTTTTTGCGTGTAAATTTTGCGCTAAACGCAGGGAAGGTGTAGTGGTCGTGTTGCGCCCCTTGAGAGAAGGTGTTAACCTGAACGAGAGACCGCAACGTGGCCGATACGCATTCACGGGATGTATTGTTCGACAAGTTACACAACGAATACTTTTGGGTTTTAAGACTTTATCCTCTTTTGTAAGACCTGACACAAAACTAGGATAAATAGCGCAATTTTGCCGGTTATTTGCCAAAAATGGAGAGACAACCGTTTAAATTTCAACACCCATGTTCTATTTTCGTGTTTTGCCAATCTTTGGGTGGGAAGACAACCTGGACAATGAAATTCCTCGAATATATCGAGCAAGTCCTTGAAGGTCACGAAAATGTTGAAAATATTTACTATTTCACTGGTTCAAAGCAAGAAATGGAAGACAAATTTCCAACGTTACCACAAAATTTTCATATTTTTGAAGGTCCCCCGACCAATGAACAAGTAGATCACTTGAAAAACGCTGTAGTGATCCTTGATGACTTGATGCTGGACATGAAGGAAAATGTAATGGCTGCTTTGACTTCGCGAATTACCCACCACCAAAACTGTACCCTAATTTTCCTGAGTCAAGATGCTTTTCGTACCAGACGTACCGCGCGTATCAACGCAAACTACATTGTCCTTCTACGGTCCGTTTCTGACCTTTTGCAAGCAAGACAAATAGGTTTGCAATGTTTCCCAAACCAGTTTACATACTTTTGGGATAGCTATCTGGACGCAACGGCAAAACCATATCAATATTTGGTGGTCAACTGTCACCCAAAGCTTGAAAACCGAGAAGAAAGACTGGTTACCAACATTTTTCCAGATAAAAGACAAATTTTCTACTTGCCCAAACATTCATTTGCAAATGGAAAAACGTTTTGAAAATTGGCAAATTTTTCACAAACTTGCAAAAAGTTTAAACCCTAGACTTGTAATTCAGAAAAGTACCGACCAAGAAGTACAAACTGTCATCGAGTTTGTTTACAACCTAACATCAGGCACGGTACCACTCTATAAATACGAGAAAAACGGACTTGAACCACATTTGGCAACTTTGACGAACCTCGCTAAACTACGCGATTTTACGCAAGCGCGAAATAGTCTTGAAACACACGCCCAACTGCTAAAACTTTTGACAAAACCTGCTCTATCTTTTAAAAATGTCGACTACGGAAAAACATTTTGAAAAGATGATGCTAGTTCCTTGCACTGAAAACCCTCAACAAGGTGATGGTTACGCCCAAACCCCGCGCGAACAAGCCGTTGAAAAAGCCAAAGAAACTGAACAACAAATGGCGAATGTACTTCAAAGTGCAATGCCTGACGACTTGAAAATGCAACTGTACCAAAAGTTTCTAAATGTTTTGACACAACATATCCAGGAAATTCGAAAGTACGACCCTTTGCAACAGCAAACACCACAAAACCTAGCTTTGTTACCTGAAGAAAATTTGCAAACTTCAGTTGTAAAAAGAGCACGACGCAAACCTTCAAAACAAAACCCCTATAAGAAAGTCATGGAACTTTTGTCAAAACATGTCAAAACTGACAGCAAAAACCGAGTTTTGGACGCGGATGGTCAGCCAATTGAGGGCAGCGACCTATTTGAAATCGCCAGGGTGGCAGCTAGCGAAACAACACACCCCTTTCCAATAGGTTATAACGTCGCATACCACCAAGTACAAGTCCAGACCCCAAGACTTGTCAAAAACCTGAAGGAACCAACTTTTGTCCCACGTACCATTCAAAACATACAAAAGGCGGTCCTAACGCCCACTAAAAACACATCGCCCGAGACGGTCCCTAAAGTCAGTGTGCTAAAACGTATCCAAAACTTGCAAAAAGACCTAATAGCTAAACAACAACTTCGACATAAAATTTGGGAAGACGATGACGAAAACCAAACAGGTAGTGGCAAAAAGAAGTTCAAAGTTGCAAAATACAACTAAGATACTGGACGAACTGTACACTAACCCCGACTCGAACATTGCCTTCACTTCTAGAAATAACCTTGTAGTAGCAAGTAAAAAATATGGCATCACAAAAGGACAAGTGGACAAATATCTTCAGAAGAAAAATTCCTACATCCTTCACCGAAGAGTTTTACACAAGTTTCCTAGAAAGAAATTCATAGGAACTAGTATGAACAGTCACCATGTCGCAGATCTTGCTGATTTTCAAAAAATCAAGCAATACAACCAGGGCCAACGATACATTTTGGTAGTTGTCGATCTATTTTCAAGAAAAACTTTTGCTAGACCATTGCTAAACAAGAGACCCCAAAGCGTAAAACGACGTCTAGAGCAAATTTACAAGGAAATTGGCGATGCACCCTATTTTTTGACCACCGATCAAGGTCTCGAATTTACTGGTGCACCAATGAAAGCTTATCTGAAAGCCAATGAAATTCGTCACATTTTGACGAAAGGTGTGGCAAAAGCAGCACCTGCTGAACGTAAAATCCGCGACCTAAAATCGCGTATCTACAAATATTTTACCGAGAACAACACTTACAACTGGGTTGACGTCCTACCAAAAATTGTCGAAGGTCTCAACAATACACCGACCGAACCCCTAAAAGGTTTGGCACCTAACGAAATGAAACATGACACTGTCATACCCACCGACGTAACATCCAAATTCAGAAAACCCGAACCACCACTAGCACTTGACGACTACGTAATTGTAAAGAAACCACAAGTCAGCTTTCGCAAAGCCTACAAAGGAACCTTTTCTGGTGAAGTTTACCGAATTATGCGTGTGGTTACGCCGGGAAACTTTTCTGCACCAGTTTTTTACCTAAAAACGTTGCAAGGACTACCACTTAAAAAAGTCTTTTACAAAGAAGAACTGCAAAAAGTCCAACGACCAAAAATGTACCGCGTAGAAAAAATTTTGGGTAACAAACGGTTGGGTGGCAAACCTCATAGCCTTGTGAAATACCACCAACAACCCTCGGTATATAATGGATGGGTACCTGACAAAACCCTCATTTACACCGACAAATTATGATAATGGAAGAACTACTTTCAAGCCGTTCGTCAACCACGTCAGCAAGTCGTAATAATATTAGTTTGGCCTGGGCAAGGGTACTTATTATTTTTCTCATCACCCTATCGTGTCTCGCCAACATGACGATAGCCCATATAAAGGGCAACGACCTGACAGTATGGCTAAGTGCTACACTTTCAGTTGCTTGTCTTTTGGTACCCTCACCCCTCAAAAGCAAACCTCTAAAAGGAAATGAGTGAGGACTTTTACGTCACATTGGTAGGACCAGGGCGTCGAGATGGTAAAGGTTCAACCTTTGTCAATCGCCTCGCCAAAGAGGTCAATATGTTCCAAGCTACGGGACACCAAAGCTATTGGACCTGTGCATTGGTTGACTTTACAACCGCAGTGTCCTGGGATCAAGTGGCAGAAGCACAAAAATTTAGACTTTGGTCTAAAGATGGTAAAGAAAGTTTTTTGTGGTTGTCACCCGGTACTTACCCCACCCCACAACGTCTAATTAATGCACTAAACGCCATTTTTGCAAAAACGTTGAAAAGGAAACGCGAAGCCCCTTTGCTACCAGCTAATGTCGTGGCAACACAACCCCTTCCAAAGCTTATACCACCTGGTGCTCCAAGCACCGCTACTCCACCACAACCAACAGTCGTTGCAACACCGCCCGAGACAAAACTACCCAAACTAACACCACCGGGAGCTCCAAACGCTGCCGAACCGCAACCTCCACAGCAAACGCAACCTAACCCGCAAACTTCGCAACTACCGAAACCGTCGCAACCCCAACAAACACCGCAACAGTCACAACCACAAACTTCCCAATTGCCGAAACCGTCGCAAGACCCGCAACAGCCACAACCACAGCAACCAGCGCAAACGCAACCAGCGCAAACCCCACAACCACAGCAACCAGCGCAAACCCCGCAACCACAGCAAGTGCAACAACAGCAATTACCACCACAAACACAAAAACCTCTGGCCCCTCTTCCGAAACTAATACCACCTGGTGCTAAAGCAAAACCACCCAAAGAGAACCCTTTCAAAACACCCCCAGAAGAGGTAGACGACAACTTTTCCAACATTCTTTTCGAAAAGGCTCTCGAAAGTCAGGGTGTAGGTTTCAAATTTGATGCAAACAGGTGTCGCGCCTGGGTTGAAGTAGACAAGTCCAAAGTCGACAAGCTAGTACTTCCCAAGTTATTGTGGCAAATACTGGGTTTTGAGTACGCAACCCTCAAGGACAGCCGTAGTGCAAAGTACATACTTGACCTAAAAACAAATTGCCGCAACTTGGCCATTTGTTGCAGTGTGGTGGAACCACAACTTGTGGGCGACACTTTTCGTGACCTACTACGTATCATACCTGTTGATAGTGGTTGGGGAGAAATGCTAAACAAAACTTTTAGTCCACCAACTTACCTCCCGGTACGACAAGGTACTTTCCGAGAAATTACCCTAAGTATCACTGACGAAAACGGGCGTGAAGTTGACCTTGACAATTGCCTGGCCACGCTACACTTTAAAAGGGTGTACTGAACATCATTTTGTCATTCGCAAACTATGGACTACTTTCAGCTACCTGCAAATTTCTCCTGGTTGCCTGGGCAGTTGGGAAATGGACGTACAAAAAAGTACGTCCCCCTAAACCCGCAAAACCCGTTTGTAGGGAACCCTACCCAACCCCTTTTGGTAGGACCCCAAAAAGTAGGGGCCCTAATGGGAGGGCTACTTCAACCCGTCGTAGGGTTCCCCTACGTCGAGGGTGAAGTAGGGGGACCCCAAAAAGTAGGGACCCCTTACGTAGGGACCCCAAAACCCAAAAAACCTACCAAAGGCCGGAAAAAGGGGGTCTCTGCTTCTCTACCGCCCCTTCGCCTCTTGGGCGAGGGTACAAAAGCAGCTACAAAAAGGCGTAGCCATTTCATTTTGACAACTGTACCACCAAAACGCAATGGAAGCCCCCAAGACGCTTGAAGCTAACCCCGACTTTCTTTTTCAAACGAACTGTCATTGTTTGAACCTCTGCAACACGTCGTGGGCATACAATCGATGAGATACCGAAGTATCGCCCCCGAAAATGGCATTTCGCAAACTGGACCCATCTCGTTTCGTATTATGAAAGAACCCCACTACATTTCGCTGGCCCGTAGTTATGTCACCATGACCTTGAGTCTGGTTGACGCTGAGGGTAAAGGTTACGAACATCACATTAAAACGGGCGGTGCTGCTGGTACCGCTGTGGCGGTAATGCAAAAGGAAAAGTGTGCCCCTATCCAATTGGCTGCGAAAGCTTTTTGGAAGCAAATATCCGTGAACATTAATGGTACCCAAGTGGAGAACACTGGAGACCTGTACCCCTACCGCGCTTTCATCAATACCGAGTTTATGATGGACCCTTCGATCAAAAAGTACAATGTCGGACATGCGCAGTGCTACAGTGATGTCGAATCGGGCATCGAACACGAGACCAACGACGGTTTTGAGGATTTGTCTGCTATGTTTATGAAGGGTAAACCCGTTCGTGTCAACAGCCCTCTTGACCTGAACATTGCCACGGCTAACAGGCTAATGCTCAACAACACGGATATTCAAATCACACTACATCGTCAAAGCGACAATTTTTTGATTCGCAACTATGGTTCGACAAAGACCGACTGGCGTTTCAAGATTCACGATATCCGTTTGGTATTGGCCGAATATCAGCTGTACCCTTCGGCGAGCGCAGCTATCGAACACTCGTTGGCAAGCGGGAAGAAAGCTAGCTATCCGATGCGTTCTTACCAGACGAAGGGGTTCTATTTGCCGGAGAACCAACTGAAAGTACCCGAGATGCAACTATTCAACTCAAACCAAATTCCACGACGACTTTTTGTCGGTTTGGTGAAAAATGGCGCCTTCACAGGCTCTCAAGACACTGACCCTTGGCGTTTCAACAACTTTGACTTGAAAAATATTCAAGTATGTTTTGCGGGACAAACCCTACCCACCAAGGCGTGGAACCTCGACTGGAACCCGGACAATGGCATCGGTTGGACTGAAAGTTACACGGCAATGTTGGAGGGTACTGGTATGGCAGCTGCTAACCGTACCAATGGTATCGATATGACCACTTTTGCCGACAGTCGTTGCGTACACGTTTTTGAGTTGTTGCCTGAAGCAGATGGTGGCGTCGAAAACTTTGACATGGCCATTTCGGGACAATGCACCTTGGACCTTGAGTTTGGGACCCCTACACCTACTGGTGGTCTCATGTGTGTTGTACACGCCGAGTTTATGAACAAATTGACCCTTGACCACGCCCGACAAGCCCAAACTTTGGCCATTTGAAAAAAATGGACAGTTTTCAACTTAATCACATCCTGGTAAACAACCCACACACGCGTTCAAAACACATTGGTGTCTTTGCTGCAGATACGTTACCCACGTGGAAATACGGTTTTGGTGGTCTAGTCGTAAATTTGGACAATTCCACTGAACCCGGTAGCCATTGGGTGGCAATTTTTGGTGAAAACGGGGTTGGCTACTACTTTGACCCTTTGGGTAATAAACCAAAGGGTAAAATTCAAAAGTGGTTGCAAAAGACATTTACACATGTCATCTACAACACCGAACAACATCAAAAATTTGGTACCAAAACCTGCGGCGCTTTCGTTTTAGTCTTTTTGCACCAAATGTGTTTGGGTTGTAAGTTTTATGACTTTAACAAATTTTTCAAATTCATTACCAATGACGATCGTTTTGTGATAACCTATGTCGCGAAGCACTTTGGGGTCAACCTGCCCGCGGCGTGGGCCAACTAGCCCCACCCACTCCTACACTTGGTGCGGTACATTTTTTGAGGTCATTCGTCACTTTGTCACGCTGCTGTACGGTCGTCACATGGAGTTCCCTAATGTTCAACATCATGTCGTGTCGAACCCTCTCCACGGATGTCGCTACTGCCAAAAGCACTTTACGACCCGTTCAAACCTCAACCGTCACGTCCGACTCAACTGTCTCCAAAAAAGCGCAGCGTTGCACGCAAAAAAAGACCTGCCGAAGGAAGTGCCGCAAGTCCCGACGCCACAAAAAGACCCACCAGGACACAAACTTTTTCCCTTGTTGTTTTTTCTTGATCCTGTTAGTAATGCTATTACCGCCAATTTACCTGACCTTAAACAACCTGTTCAGTAAATAAATTTTTTGTTAAAAAGTTGTTTGACGGAAATTGCACAACACAAAACACAAACACACGCACACTGATAGCTAAGCATTACAACACGCTCTCTTCCGGTTCTCGCTTTCGACCTTCACTGGGTGTATATACTCTTCTGAGGCTCCGCCCTTTGATTCTAATTGGCAGACCACGCCTTACATCTTGATGAGTCATCCTCTGATGAGTCATCATGGGGTGATTTATCATGGGGTGATTGATTGGTCTGGGACTCTGGGCCTGCTAGGGGATGAGTCATCGCTTTGAAACTCCGCCCCTCAGAGGGGTATTTAAGGGTCCAACTGCGTCAGCTGCCGCCAATCCGAAACACTCCCCAGGGCAAAATTTGATCAAAATTTAGGCGCAAAAACGGGGGTTTTGGTAGAACGTGTTAAACTTTCAAAAGTTGTGATAAGCAGAAAAAGGACAGGTAAAAAATGCAAAGTTTTAAAAATAACCTAATGTTTAAGATACCTATCAAAAAACCATGGGGAAACGAGGGTAAAAAATGCGGTCCCGTGAATGCGTATCGGCCACGTTGCGGTCTCTCGTTCAGGTTAACACCTTCTCTCAAGGGGCGCAACACGACCACTACACCTTCCCTGCGTTTAGCGCAAAATTTACACGCAAAAACAGGGTTCTGGTAGAACGTGTTAAACTTGAAAAAGTTGGGAAAACCATGAAAGGGTAGGTAAAAAATGCAAAGTTTTTGCTTTAAAAACATTCAAAAAAATCGATAATTTGAAGGGGGTAAAAAAACCCAGGGAAAAACGAGGGTAAAAACCCATAGGGGAAACGAGGGTAAAATATCCATAGGGTAAACGAGGGTAAAATACCCAGGGGGAAACGAGGGTAAAATACCAAGGGGGAAACGAGGGTAAAAACCCCCGAGGGTAGCGAGGGTAAAACAACCTATACTAGTAGTGCCGTGGCTATCAGTGGCATATTTTTGGTTTGGTGTGGCGCACGCAGAATTTTTGGTTAATTCACCGGCTTCTAAAATTTCGAACTGTCCCCCATTTACCCCTAAATTACTGTCAATTTCGTGTGTATTTTTTGGTTATTAATTAACGTAAAAAAATCGTTGGTGAGGGGCCTTGAAATTTATTCCATCTATCGGTCTCTCTCTCTCATCTCTCTCTCATCTCTCTCTCTTTCTCGCTCACTCTTTCTGTCTGTCTCTCTTTCTCTCTCTTTCTCTCTCACTCTTTCTGTCTCTCTCTCTCTCTCTCTCTATTTCTCTCTATGTCTCCCTCGCCAATTAAGGCCCCTCACCAAAGTTAAAATCTATAACTAATCCTGCAAACCCTAAAATTTAATTTTAGAATTATCGTATCCTGCGGAACATGTCTGACTTTTGTGACGATATCGATGGGAGCTGCTTTTCTCATTGCTGCCTATAAGGTAAGTGAAAGCGAGATCCAAAAAATTCGCTTCCTCCAGGAGCACGAGCACGACTCCGCGATGTACTACTGCGGGCGTAAAGCCGCATTCGGCGACGAGTTCGGCGCGTTCATCTACACGCACAACATCGTGTGCAACGTGCTGGCGGCCATCTTCAGTTTGGCTGCCTATGTGAAGGCGAGGCGGATGGTGAAGACACAGTAAGTTTTGAAAAAAATTTGTCGTGAGAGAGAGCTAGAAAGAGTGATAGAGAGAGAGCGCGAGAGAGAGAGAGAGAGAGAGCGCGAGAGTTAGAGAGAGCGAGAGATAGAGAGAGAGACCACGGTTTTCCAGAACCCGAATGCAACGCCAGCTTGGCCTCATCAAGAACTACTTCATCATCTCGATCGTCTCGACAGCGTTGGTCTCACTCCCGAATGCCATCCATCTGTTCCAAGTCTACGTCAAGGAGGTACGCTTTTAATTGGGGGCCCGGCAGTCCCTGTTAATGCGTTGCGGGCGCACTGCGGAGTCTGAGGTTTTTCGCGGCTTCCTTTTTATTTTTTCCTTTTTTGAGGCGGCGGACACGTGCCGGCGGCGCAAGGCCTGGCCTAAACGTCTATTTTTTCAGCTGTCAAACTCGATCTCGAAGCCGGCCTACTGGGCCCAAACGGTCAATTCTGGGATTCACTTCTTCGTCTATTTGGCGCTGAATTCCGGTTTGTTCATTCAAGAGAATGCGAGAGAGAGAGAGGGAGAGAAAGCGAAAGAGTGAGACAGAGAGAGGGAGTGAGAGGGAGTTAGAGGGAGAGAGAGTGGGAGAGAGCGAAGGAGAGAAACAGCGGAGAGAGAGATAAGAGAGAGAGGAGAGAGACAGAGAGATTGGGAGAGAGCGAGAGTGAGAGGAGAAAGAGAGAAAAGAGGAAAAGTTCATTGTCCTAACTTGTCCCTTTAATTCGTGAATATTTTAGAATTTCGTACCCGCGTCCGCGAAATCTTCTACCCACCCAATAAAACACCTGAAACGGGCGAGAAGCATCGATTGATCAGTAAGAAAAATACAACGTTTTATTTCAAATATTTGAAACTTAAAACTGTCTGTTTTAAATGTTTATTGAGTGAGCTATTCAAAATCATCGTAATTCAACCAAAATTCAAAGTATTTTTCTCTAGAAGCCTCTCCAACCGGTGCCGAACACCGCAATGGCAGTCTGCCAAAGGATGGTGGCCCTAGCGAGCTGTGAATTTTGCATTTTTTTCTAATATGAATTTATTATGTATTTTTGTCATACGGGTGTTTTGATGCGTGTTTGAAGGGGTTGGGAAGGCAAATTTCTGAATTTCCGATGAAGATTTGGTAAATTGCCAAGTTTTGGGTCTGCCTTCTCGTCCCTTTAGTGTTCAAATGTCCACTGGTGGTTATGGTGCTGCAATAATGAAAACTAATAAATTTAATAATAATACAGGACCTGTAGAAATCACATTTTACATCCACAACCCTAAAAGTAAAAACAATAAAAGGCTTAAAATTGGAAGCCCGAAAACCGAGCGTTACAAAAGAGGATTTTGTCATTTTTTCAGTCTTTTTCGCGAATACCAGCCATAAGCCCGGCGGATGAAAATGCGGACAGTTAAAATACCGACAACCCAAATTCCGTTAGGCAAAAATCGCGACACCCGAGAACCCCGACAGTCAAAATTCTGATAGGCGAAAATCCCGATAACCAAAATCTCGAGAATCAACAAACTCGACGACGGCAAAATCGCTACTGCAAAAATCTCCAGGGTGAAATGCCGACACCAAAAATTCTACATAAACCCCAAAAATTTTACATATCCTTGCCGCTCGTTCCTACCCCTTTAAACAATTATTTTACACGCTAGATTATGCTTGTCGGCACCTTGGCGTTGCTAAAATCTCAATACAAAAATCTTTTAGCGTATCGCCCAACGATTGACGCCCAAAGTGTTGTCCCAGCGGGACCCAAATTAGGTACGGTTGGCTTGGCGCCAAGGGGGGTGTAAATAGGCGCGGAATGGAACTGGCACACTATAACTTCAGGAATACAAGATGATACTGTGGCACTTATTAGACACTCGAGTATCGGGTCGTACTTTACCTATTGGCCCCCTCATCCTGAGTCATCGAAAATAAAAAATATGGCAGGTTAGCTGGCCTCTTGACAAGGAGAGAGAGAGAGAGAGAGAGAGAGAGAGAGAGAGAGAGAGAGAGAGAAAGGAGAGAGCGAAGAGAGCGGGAGAGAGAGAGAGAGAGAGAGAGAGGCGAGAGAGAGCGAGAGAAAGGAACAATTGGCGTCTGTTCCTCAAAAACCCTAGCCGTCATTTATCACCCCTCTTATTTGAGGTCCCACTTGACGGGCTTGATCGAGGGCAATCTCAGCCCATAGCCTATTTTTCTATTTATTCATCGTTTCTGGCCGTAAAAAGTTGTTTTTTCGTTGTTTTTCCCGTTTTTTAAAAACTAGTTAAACGAGCTTTTATAGGCTTGAAAATAATTTGGAATTTTCCAGCGTTTTTCTGGGTTTTTACTAAAGTCTTTTAAGCTTTTCTGTATTTTTTACTTAAATTTGGATTCGAAATTCGAGCCCAGAAAACACGGATGCGTGCTTCTTTTTTCGTTCTATTTCCATGGCCTAATCGCTTCGAGCAAATTTCGTGGGTCCATTTCCATATTGGAAGAGCTCGGGGGCCCCCAATTCTGAGCCATCAGAAATTGGGCTCTCGGATGTGCCGCTAAACTGAAAAGGCCGTTCCCAAATGTGTTCCAATTTTCATCATTTAAAAAAGTTTTTCTTGCTTTAGAAAAGTAGTTTTTAAACAAGCATCGAATCGGATTTTCGACTTCTGGTTAATTGATTCGGTGGGAAATTGGGACCCACGGCCGCGGACTAGGTCCGGGTCCAACCCCCAAAACGGGGCCCCGGGCGGGCCCCCCCGCCCCCCCCGGCCTTCGGACGCCCTCCCGGAACCCAACCACCCCCCGAGAACCCCCCCCCCGGCCACCCCCCCCCCCCCCCCCCCCCCCCCCACGGGTTCTGCCTAACTCTATTGCTCCCAACCACATGCACTCGTTCACTTTCGCTCTCGCTCTCACCCTCTCTCCCGCTCGGACTCTTTCTCACTCTCATTCACTCTCATTAACTCCTGCTCTCTCTCTCTCTCTCCCTCTCTCCGTGATTAGCTCACTCGCTCTCCTACACCGTCCGACTCTTTCTCGTTCTCCTACTCTCTCTCATCTCTCTTTCTCATCCTTTATTCGCCTCCCTTTCTCTCTCTCTCTCTCTCTCTCTCTCTCTCTCTCTCTCTCGCTCTCTCTCTCTCCCTCTCTCTACCTCTCTATCTCTCTCTCGCTCTCTGACTCTCTCACCCTCTCTCTCGCTCTCTCTCGCTTGCTCTCTGGCCCTCTCTCGCTAACTCCCCCTCTCTCCCCTCTCTCGCCTCTCTCTGTCATCTCTCTCTCCTTTCAACCTGTCACCATCCGTTTAGAGCTCCAGGCGCTGCCTCGTCCGATGATATGCTTCAGCCAAGAATACGTAACTGGAATTCTGATTTTCTTCCTAGCGTTTATGCCCTCAATCTTCACAAAAAATCACTCAAAAACCAAGATTCGAGAAGGGACACCTGAAGGTTAGCGAAAAATTTTTTTTTTTTTTTTTTTTTTAAAAAAAAAATTTATTTTTTTTTTTTTTTTTTTTATTTAAAAAAAAAATGAAGGGATGGGATTTTTGAGCTCCAACTTCGAAAACTGATCCTTAGAAATCGAAGGTCTACTCTTCGGGTTCTACGATGACAACAATCGACTATATCACCATCTACTGCATCATTATCATCCCTCATTATCTCCGATTTTTCTGGGAGGCCGGTTTTAAAGGGATGGTGACGGCTAGATACTTGACTCTAGAAGTACGCATTGATGGTGCCTTTTCCAGATCACAACCATCCCACCTTCCGGATTCCGCCATTCCGAATATATATCAATTTGATCAACACAAAATTAATGGATATCGTGGGTTTAAGTAAAAACGCTCAAGGATACTTGAATTTTAGAGTGAGGCATCCGAGTTGTTGTCGTTGATCATCGAGCTCGAAGTGGTCAGTGATGGAAGGGAGGGGAGAGCGGGGGAGAGAGAAAGAGCTAGAAGGAGAAAGAAAGACAGAGCGAGAGATAGAGAGGGAGTGAGATAGTGAGAGAGAAATACTGAGGGAGACCGGTATCGGCAGAGAGATACAGAGCGAAAGATAGAGAAGGAGAGAGAGAGAGAAAGAGAGAGAGAGAGAGAGGGAGAGAGAGCCAAAGAGGGAGAGGGAGAGAGATATGAGAGAGGAATAGTGAGAGAAATGGTGAGACAGACAGGTATAGACAGAGCGAGAGGGAAAGAGATGGATAGAGAGCTAGAGAGCGAGAGAGAGAGAGAGAGCGAGCGAGATAGAGAGATTTTAGAGATGGCACGACCTGCGCCTCCGCTGGAACCCCGCCAATTTCTCGGGCATCGAAAATATCGTTTTGCCCGAGCACCGAATCTGGACCCCCGATTTTGTATACTACGATCAGGCGTGCGTATTAATTTTAACCTTCTATGCGCTTTTCACAGGGCCCAAGCTATCAATCTGATCCCCGAGGATTCGCGTTATGTGCGGGTAGGTATTTCGATTTTTTAATGAATTTTTAATTACGTCGTCGATTTCTGAAATAATTTCGCGAGTCTAACGCTGTTTTTAATTTTTATTTTTTATTTTCAAGGTAGATTCCAACGGTGAGGCGAGTCTGCCAATGATGCATCTGGTGCGGACGAGCTGTAATTTGAATGTGGGTGTTTTACGCAGACTTCTACCACTCTCTCTCTCTCTCTCTCTCTCTCTCTCTCTCTCTCTCTCTCTTCTCTCTCTCTCTCTCGCTCTCTTTCTCTCTCTCTCTCTCTCTCTTTCTCTCTCTCTCTAGCCAACCTACTCTCATTTCCAGATGTCCGAATTCCCGTTCGACATCCAGTACTGTGCGGTCGCCCTCGGGACGTACATCTATGCGGCCAAGGAGATCTCTTACCAGATCAACATCCCCCAGTTCAACGAGCACAAGCAGTCTGATGTACCGTATTCCAACTTGCACTTTTTGCGCCGGTTGAATTTTGAATATTTGCTTTTTAAGACTTAGATATTTCAAGGAAAGAGCCGAAATTCTAGCGCCCAAAGAACCGTGCCGATACTGTAGGTTAGCCGTCGTACCGTAATTTTTAGGGCTTCGTTGGTTTCGAATTTTTTGAATTTTTTAGTGGAATTAAGAATTGAATAAGAGCGTTTTAAAAGGGTTTTAAAGTAAAAGGCTAGGCTTTACACGTTTTGCAGACGTACGGCTGGCACGGGAATAGTGAATGGGATGTGGACAAGCCGAAAGCAGAGAGGATGAAAGCGAATAATACTATCTTCAAATATGAATATGTTTGTTTATTAGAAGAGAGAGAGAGAGACCGAGAGAGACAGAGAGATGGTGAGATAGAGTAAGACATAGACACGCAGCGAGAGAGACAGAGATAGGGAGAGAGAGAGAGAGAGAGAGAGAGAGAGAGAGTTACCGTCAAAAACCCCGACTTTCCTTTCAGGTAAATATCGAATTCACGTTCTACCGCCACTCCTCCTTCTTCATGTTCATCATCATCTGGCCAGTCTTCCTCCTCAACATCCTCTGCACGTTCGGCATGTTCGTTGACAAGACGGGCGACTGTTTGAACAAGGTCAGTTTTCTCTCGATTTCACTCTCTCTCTCTCTCTAGCTCTCACTCTCTCGCTCTCTGTCAAGCTCCCTTTAAACACAAGCTGGTCTTCGCCAGATGATCCTCGGCCTCACCACCCTGATGGCGATGGCCGTCGAGCTCGAGATCGTCGCCGAGGAGATGCCCAAAACACAGCATATGCCACTGTTGGGTAGGCTAAAAAACCTACTTGTTGCTTTGTAAGGTTGTAAGGTATCTTAGATCCTTAAATATGGCCAAATACTAAACAAAATCATGTTTTTCGTTAATTAAATCCACCAAAAATCCTTAAAATATAATAATTAAAATTTTAATTTAATTCTTCCAGCTCGATTCGTCATCAATTCCATCTACATCATCGCTACCGCGTCGGTTACTGTACTTTTTCTTCCTACGATTAGGAGAGCTAGGTGAGAACGTTTTGTAGAACTTAAAATTTTTTGATGAACTTTGATTCTCGTTCGTAATTTACTCACTAACCGTAATTACGCCTAAATTCTCCAAAAATCGCAAATTCAAGTTTTTAAAAATTAAATTACACTATTGCTGGTATCAGGCTACGTTGCACTACGCTAGGTCAGAGCGATACATTACGTGGTGTTAGTACGCTGGGTTACGCGACGTTGGTACGCCACGTGACGCGTCGCTAGTACGCTACCGTACGCCATACCAGTACGATACGTTACGCGTCGCTAGTACGCTACGATACGCCATACCAGTACGATACGTTAGGCGATTTTGGTCCGATATGTTACGATAAGCTATACCTCACGCGTTGCTAGTACGATACGTTACGCGCTGCTAGTATGATGCGTTGCACGCGCTAGTACTGTACGGTACACCATGTTAATACGATACTTGATGCGAGGCTCGTAGGATACGTTGACGACGCCAGTACGTTACGGTACGCTATGCTAGTAGGATAAGTTACGCGACGTTACAATGCGTGGCGCGACGTGAGGACCATACTTACGCGTATCATTACGCCAAAATGGGCCTTAGTCATGGCGGTAGCCTACTTAACGTAATATTCGACGGTATCTGAGAGTAATACCGGCAGAACGCAGGACCCCAAGTCACACCAATGCGTGCGCTGCCATCCAAAGTTCTGACTCATCGTCTATGTCATTCTCATTCCTCACACTTTCCCTGGATCATCAGAATTTTAAGACTGTTTTCGCGTTGACCTGATCCTTGAACCACATCAACCTCCAAAAACATCTTCGTACCTACCCTTACAATTTTTGGTCTTGTTTTTAAATCTGTTTGTTTCAGAAAATCCGTGCCCCACCTGACGACACGGCGGCTGATCCAGCCAAATCTGTTGCTGCTCATCATCTTCGAGACGCTGAATGCCGTGAACTTCTTTTATTTGCTGTCGTTTAAGAAAAAACATGAATGGAAGTGATAAAGATAATTTATCGGGCCAACCCGCAACAAAGGAGAGGGACAAGAAAAAGTCTATTTACCATGCAATAAATAAGCAAGAACATATGGATTTATCTCTCTCTCTCCCTCTCTCTCTGTCTGTCTGTCTCTCTCACTCTCTCCCTCTCTCGCTCTCACTCTCAGGCTCGCTCTCTCTCTCTCTCTCTCTCTCTCTCTCTCTCTCTCGCTCTGTCTGTCGCTCTCTCACGCTATATCTCTGTTTGTCTATCTTTATTCTCTCTCACTCTGTCCCACTCTCATTCTCACTCTCACGCTCGCTCTCGCTCTCTCCCTCTCTCACTCTCAAGCTCTCTCGCTCTCTTTCTCTCTCTTTCCTTCTCTCTCGCTCATGCTCGAATTCTCTCTATTTCAGTCGTTTTCATGTTACTAGCTCTCTCTCTTTCTCTCACTCGCTCACGCTCTATCTCTCTCACTTCTCACTCTCTAGCTGTGTTACCCCGAAAACCTGTGATGCTGTCGCCAGACTCATGCTCAATTCCAGACCCATCCTCCAAACGCGCTCATCCCCGCATCGTCATTCCAAATTTCAGATCAAATTTTGAGAGCAAAAACCTGATCCTCAGCCCGAATCCAAAAATCCACACGTACACTCCCCGCATGACCAACGGACGCTTTTTTCACCGAGCTCCCCCGCTCCGGATGTGCCATTTAGGGCTATCCGGTCGAGACCGGGGTAACCGTTCGGGAGAGCCCCCCAATAATTCGGGGCTTCAGAAAAAATTTTGAGATCATCACATCCGGAGCACAGTCTCGGCCCTGCCAAGACGGGCCCAAACCCTCATAATCTTACGATTTTGGCGGCGTCACAGACGGTTTTGGCCACATAAAGTTTTGGTGCTGGTATCCGGCCAAGGATCGACATTTATTGGGCAGTAATAACTACGACCGGGAATACGTGAATGTGAGAGGGGGCTGAAAAATAGTTCTTTGGGGGGTTACAGACGGTGTACAGAGTACAGGGGCCAAATATGGTTGGTCTAGACGCGACTTTTACGTCAAGGTTATGAATAGAGGTGTCTAGGGATTTAGGCAGGGAGAAGGGGAGGAAGAGAAAGCGAGCGAGAGAGAGAGAGAGAGAGACAGAGAGTGAGAGAGAGGAAGAGGAAGTGAGAGAGAAGGAGAAAGAGAGAGAATGACAGTGACAGTGAGAGCGAGGGGGTAAAGTCACTACCCCGAAAAGTCACTACCCCGAAATAATTCACATGATTTTTATAGGAAAACCGCATGAAAACTGGATTTTTCCGGAAAAAACAATGCTATCATTTTTCGGAGTAAACGATTTCGGGGTAGTGACTTTTCGGGGTAGTGACCGGACGCCGAGAGCGAAAGCGAGAGAGAGAGGGAGAGAGAGAGAAATAGAGAGAAAGAGAGAGAGATAAAGAAAGTGAGGGCGAGAGCGGGAGAGATAAGGATTGTTAGAGTTTTCAGGATTATAGTCGGGGGTAGAGAGAGAGAGAGAGAGAGAGAGAGAGAGGAGAGAGGGAGAGAGGGGGAAAGAGATATTGTGAGATGTATAGCTAGAAAGAGAGAGGGAAAGAGAGAGAGAGCGAGAGAGAGAGAGAGAGAGAGAGAGAGAGAGAGAGAAATAGAGAGAAAGAGAGAGAGAGAGATATAAAGAAAGTGAGGGCGAGAGATAAGGATTGTTAGAGTTTTCAAGATTATAGTCGGGGGGTAGAGAGAGAGAGAGAGAGAGAGAGAGAGAGACGAACCGACATAAACCTTTCGACATGGGTTGTTCCGCTCCCTTTAAAGGGCTGCCGACGGCATTGTTTGATCCCCCCATCAACAAATTGGCAAGTAGCCAACAGGGGAGAGAGCGGGCCCTGGGGAGAGGCGCAGAGACATTTTGTTTCCAGCGCGTAACCGATTGACTATGCCGTCCCTTTAAAGCCCCCATTCCACAAAATTCGTGATTTCTGGTTAATCCGAATGATCATAGACTTCCCCCTTTCAACAATTCCATTCTTTTCTCTCAACGAAAATGCGGATGAGAATACAATAGTCGAATCATTGCTCTCGTCGAGAATTAATCCCCCCCCCCTTTCTCCCTCATCAACCATTCATTTCGAATGACCAGCCCACCGGGGCGGAAACTGATTTCCCAAAAATCCGACACAAAAAAGTTGAAGCAATCTGGATTTTAGAAATAATTTCAATGGGATGATCACCTCACCGTCTGGACGTTTGTTTTTGAATGATGGAAATTGCAAATCCGAGATCCGAAAAGTAGCTTTGGTACGGATAAGCCGAAAAGCTGTAGGTGGAGAAGAGATTGAAATTTCGGGATTTTGGATTGGCAATTATGCTGATTCATGCGGTGATCCGTTTCGCTACCCACTGACGAAAGTTTGTACATTTTAAAGGGAGTGTGACAGGAGGGTCTTGGCGTAGGCAAATTTTGGAGGTTTCCTCATCATTACCCCGTCTCTCATGCTCACGCTCGTTCTCTCTCCATACTCTATCTCTCACTCTCTCTCACTTCTCTCCCTCTCTCTCTTTCACTCTCTCTCCCTCTTTCTCTCTCTCTCTCTCTCGACTATTTCTCTAGCTCCTGCTCGTTTTGTCTCTCTCACCATCTCTCATGCTCATGCTCATGCTCTTTTTCCATCTTTCACGCATTTTCATCTTCCCTATTGGGAGGCTGCCGCGCGTATCTCCCCGCGGGGCGTGTGCGTCGCCCCGCGCGGCGCGAAGGGTTCCATACGGAAGCCATGAACAACAAAATCCACGGTCCAATCTTGCCAGCCCCATTAATACATTTTTAGGACCAATTTCGAGCCCCAAATCTCGCCCATCCCCCTCCAAAAACAACCCCCTTCCCCCGCTTCTGGCCAACCACCAAATTCTCCGAAATAACTTCCCGCTCCTGCCTATGAAGCCCCAAAATAATAATTTTTCTGGATAATTTGCGGGCCCAAAAAAGACCGGATGGTGGTGGCGGAGTTGATTTATGACAGGTGGTAATCAAAGAATTGGCAGATGTTTTCCAAGATTCCCGGCAAAAGTCCGAGATGACGTCCCCCAAGACTTTCCTCCCGGCCTGAAAAAAAACTCTAAAACGTAACTTGCGTCAGCAACGGGGGAATTGCAATGGTCTACGAACCGTGGTTAACCGGGGGGCAAGGATATCCGGTTCTGGACTGTTAGCGGGGGGGGGCGATTGTCCCCTATGGTTCTCTACGGCCCTATAACAAAATTTAAACCTTTTTTCTGGCATTTGACATAGTTTTTAGGTATAAAACCAATAATAAAAAATAATCAAAATTTTCGACAATAAACTTTTTGCTCAAAAAATGCAAAAATGACCAAAAAAGCTCAAATTTTTCGAATTTTCAAAAATTTTTTAGATGTTTTGTAACTTTCTAGCAATGAAAAATTGCTGGCAACCTTATAAAGATACATTCTATATCACCAAAAAATGAAAAAAAACAGAAATTGGCTTCCCCCTCTGCTAAAAATCCCCCCCGCTAACAGCCCAGAACCGGATAACCCTCAAAAATAAACCAAAAATCGCCGATGAGAGCAATAGAGGCTGGTCACGGATGAGTGCGCTTTCACACGGTTGTTTTTTGAGGGTGTTTTGAATGGATGGAAAATAGAATGCCTGTCTGGGAATTTCTAAGGAAAACGGCTATTTGGGGGGAACTTGTCAAAAGGAGCCGTGCGTACTCGTCGGATTTTGGAACTTGAAAGCTATAGCAAATGATGCCAGATGAACTTAAGAGACGCTAGAAACTAAAAATCGGGTCGTAGAGCTTGAAAAGTGATATTAAACGGCCTTAAACTACACAAATCGACAAGATTACGTTACGATACGGTGCCACGCGACGCTACGGTACGCTACGCAACCTATCTACGCTAGACTCCGCAACTAAATGAAGTGACGTTACGCTACGTTACGTTGCGTTGATACGCCAAGCTATGCATTTGTCCTTAAGACGCTACGAAACGTCATACTGTGCAGATACGCTAGGCTGCACAGGTATACGGCGTGAAGATACGAAGTAACGCGACGCTACGTGAAGCTACGCTAAGCAATTATTCTAAGTACGCTACAAAACGCTTTCTGGAGGGCCACGTAACTCTACAAAATGACTCTTGGCGGCGATACTACGAGGCGCTACGCAGCCTACGTAGTGACGCTACGCTGCGATACTACGATACGCTGCGCTACGTGATTCCACGGCAATACGTCTTCATACGGCGACGTTGCGCGCCAACACTACATTACGCTACGGTCAGCCGTTAAGTGAAGCTACGCCACGGAATTTGAGGCGTCTGGCTGCTTCAGTACTTAAAATTACGTTACGCTACGATAGTACGCTACATCATCCTACGAAAGTACGCTGCTTTACGCTACGAGAGTACCTACGTAACGCTAGATTACATCAGTGGGGTACCTGCGTTACGCTACGATATGGCGCTACGTCACCCTACAAAAACGAAGCCTGGTAGCAAAAACGAAACGAAGCAAACGTCGCTACCTGGTAGTATGATGTGCGTTACACTACGATGTACGGCACGTTATACGGTACGTTTCGCTACGCCTATACGCATTCCCAGTCCCTTCAAACAAGCACCGTCATCTCCCCTAACTCCATTGACCTTTCCTTCAATTTCCCGGTCCATTTTTTTGCCCCTTATCCGCCCTGCTCATCAAAATTTGTAGGAAGCCCAGCCCCGGATTTGGCCCATTGAAGTAATTTGCATTTTTCTGCCGGGCCCACACTCGGATTAGCACGGAAACTCGTGGGTGTTTTTGGGGATTCCCCACACGATATGATGGCCAGTCACTTCCCGGGAGAGAGAGAGAGTCAGAGAGAGAGAGAGAGAGAGAGAGAGAGCGAGAGAGATTAGGGGGATTATGGTAGGCGGGGTCCCGGGGTGGATTCTTGGTAATATAAGGGATGGGCTGTGGGTCTCGATTCCTACCATTCACTCGTCCGATTTTCAAGT